AAATTGCATTTCGATAAGGTATTTTGCCACTGGTCCATAATATTAATGTTGGTGAAATTGGCCCTTAGACTTTTTTTATGGGGCTACTTGACGCAAAAGGTGTACGAAACTTAACCTGCTTCAATATTGGATATACGGCTGAGAATAACGAATATTTGTAGAAATATTGATGTTACTATGTTTGAAAATCTTCGACGCGAAATTACTGACCGGCTGTTATTGTGTCAAGAAGTTCAAGGCAACCATTTCCAGTATGTAAACTGAACTCAACGTATTTATTCGAATTATCAAGTTAATTGTCAATGTATTCAGGTAATTATTAAATGTACCACCATTTTGTAGTAGGTAAAGGTATTGACTCTATATTCTAGGGTTATAAAGTACTCGTCAGGAGCTTCAAAATAATGTGCCACAGGACCCTCGTTTTCATATAGTTTTGTTTTCCAAGATGGCGCCTAGCGGCCATCTTGACATTTTCATCTGTCAATTTTACTCTAAAATATGGTATCCACGCATCAATTTCATTACTTCAAGTTCTAATTTTTTGAATTGATACGTTCAAAGAATCAAAGGGGAGGGGGGCATTAAAGAAAAGCAGTGTATAATTATTTCAATACATGAATCCAAAATATGCTTTTAGAAAACTCAGGGCTCAGTTTCACTATCAAATAAGTAATACAGGGTGCGGCAGAGGGGATGGACGGTTTTAAAAAAATCATAAAATAGTTAATTTTTACTCGAAAACAAATTTATGGATAGAATCAGGTTCACAAGGAAATCGCATTTGAGACAGTCAAGTGTGAAAAATCACATCAGGCATGTGGTGGCCGAAATCATTGTTGCAGTGCTGGAGGCGTTCTTGGAAGTTCGCGTAGACTCTCTCCAACATCGCTCTCTCAACTTGGGAGACTTCCACGCGCATTTCGCCCTTCAATTCGTCCAGAGTGTGTTCGCGTATACTCTAGCCTTGAGATGTCCCCATAAGAAAAAATCGCATTTAGATAAATCTGGGGACCGAGGAGGCCAATGAACATCGCCAAACCTGGAAATAAGGCGACCAGGGAAGAGAGGGCGAATAACGTCCATGGATGCTCGGGCTGTGTGGGCGGTCGCCCCATCCTGCTGGAACTACACACGTCGGATTGGAACACGTCGCCGTCGTAATTCAGGGAGAAAGAAGTTGGTGATCATGTCGACGTAGCGCTCTGAGTTCACGGTAACATCACGACCATTACCGTCTTCGAAGAAGTAAGGGCCAATGATGCAAGTTTGCGATACAGCGCACCAAACCGTTACTTTTGGGCTGTGCAGCGGTCTTTCGTGTAACTGTTGCGGATTTTCATTAGTCCAATAACGACAATTGTGCTGGTTAACCATGCTGTTTAGGTGAAAGTGGGCTTCGTCACTCATAAGCGAAAACGCGGTCCTCCACCGTCCAAGGCTCCATAACGACAACTGGTAAAATAATGCTAGGACCTCACGAGTCAAACGGCACCCTCCCCACCTCTCTCGTAGACGGAGGCGTACTACCCATCCCAAAAACGTCCGTCCTCTCCGCCGCATCCTGTATAACAGAAATCGTACGCTGCCTTCGAGACAATATATTATTCCAACAAGTAATTTATCACTTTTATAAGGGTATTTGCCCCCTTTCTCGATATTTAAGGGTCACTGCGGATCTATTTTGCAACGTTGTTCTGCAATATGTAGAATAGCTGTAAGAAAGTCTAATTGTAATAGGCTATGAAACATGAAAGAGGTGACTGCGTACCGCTCATTGGGATGAAACGCAATTACACGTTACGATAAAGAGGAGTTTGAAAATCCAAAAACCGGGTCCATTCGGCATGCTCAAAGCGCGACCGCGTCACGTCGGAGAGCTTTGAGGAACAAACTTTGTTCCATAGCGGTAGAAGAAAGCTAGGTCACCGACCGTCAGTCGCTGTGAAAGGATCTTGAGACTATCCGTTATAGAAGTGACATCAGTCAGTCGAACCGCCCTCATCTAAACAGCATCGAGTGTAAACAGTGTAGTCGGGGCGGCAGTACCCCAAACGTGTGAGCATTACTCGAGGCTGGGTCTTATCTGGGTCTTGTTTAGAATGAGGCTATGTAGAGGAAAGTGCTTCTGAGCCATAAACAAATAACTCAACTCTTCCCCGCAACTGTCGCGATTCACGAGACGTTTTCGTGCGAAAGTAGGCCCTCTGTGATTTGACGAAATGAATGGCATCCCTCAGTACTCGGCTATCCAATGAAACTGGATATATACCAGGACGCTTCTTCTTAGTAATAAAAGTTTGATCGTATAGGAAAGCGCCGTTGAAATGTAACAAAATCAACGCCTATTTCGATCCATATCCAACACCTTCAATCAGATTATGGGTAGAAGAAGAGAACCCCGCCAATTACGCCGTATGTATATCTTGCACTCAGAGAGGAAGTCAGTCACGCATCTGCAAAGCTCCTCTGGGAGGCCATAGGATGGAAATTGATACAAAAAGACAGCATGCTATAGCCAAATCGAAAGCCTTCATGGTATGAAGGAAAATTGCATGAGTCTCGCCATTTGACTGGATAAGTTTACTTCCACAGTCTTGTGATGTAAGCTAAGACGTCCCTGGTTGATCATTCGTTATGTATGGATTCTTGTTGACATTTTTTAAATGCAATGAAGTCGAGAAGCTTAGTATGCAACTTCTTTAATCACAAAATTAGTGTTTATTGCCCGCGACGTGAAATTAGTGCCAACATTGCGAAGCACCGTGAGCAAAAATGCTCCAAGCGACATAAACGCTTATTGCGCCCCAGATACATACCAAATTTTATCTGCGTCTGGCTGTAGGATGAGTTAAATGGACAGTTAAATAAAGTAAACTTACAGTATCACTGGGTGTTGCTTGTTTCCAATACCTAGCACAAACGAATGCTGACAGTTTTGGTGTTCGATGAGCAATGGCGAATTTTTAGAGACGAGCACCTAAAATTACTTTAACACCCAGAGATGTAAACAAGTTTGGTCGCAAACGAAGTAACTTTTATTTTGCTCGTAGTCACGCACGCATAGGGCTGAAAGAAAGTAACAGTTTAGCGACGAAGCGACAAACGTGATCACTAACAATCTATACCAATCTAGGCTTGCATTACAGTGCAAGTAAAGTAGATGGTTTAAGAAAATGCTCAAAGATAATTAATTCACTATCAATGTTAATACTGGATTCTACTTCGATTGAGGATATGTTGTGTGCAAATTATTTTCTGGCCAATTTCCTAGCTTTTGCTTTGATAGACTTCCAGACCTCATGTTCATATTCTATATGCCCTTGTTTCGCATTCATAGTCTCGGGTTTACAAGGACTGCACGCTCAGGAGTACATTTACCGCTGCACAAGGTCTAAAATATTCTCCATTATGGTACACATGACTTTGATGTGTACATCCTTGTTTCGACTATAACCTAGGACTTATCAACACAACTGTACCTTTTACCATATACTAACCCACACATGGAGCTCACTTTATGGTACCTTTTATCCCCAGTAGATCTTAGCCATCCTGTGGACATTTTTCCGTCCACTACTTTGGAAATAAAGTCTTATGTTTCCAAATGAATCTCAAAAACTTTTTAGCGCCATTTATACAGGCTAAGATTCGGATTTTAAGTAATATAAAAAACTTCGATGATTCATACAAAAGATTTCTACAAAATAATAATATACATTTCTTAAGACGTAACACCACTGTAACCACTCTAAAAAAGTTTGGTATGTCATTATTTTGGTAGAAGAAATGGTTATAAAGTAATAATATTGGAGGAAGTTATTAGGCAGACATTTAAATAACAAAGTATAATTATTTATCATACAAAAATATTCAAAAATGATGTCACCGTGGAGGATAACTCGAACAATTATTTATTCTTTTCTCGCCACCCATACAAAAATATTGTTGTAGTCACCGTTCTAGGCGGTAGTAAGTCTACCAGTATCCCTTTATGTATCTCCATCTCTATCATGCATACACATACAACCTACCCCTGTCTGTGCACGTTTGTTCGGTAAGCTCAAAGACATAGTTCTTTTTTTTAAGTTGTGTGTCTCCGTCTCGAAAACTTTGTCGTTACGTATGAGTGCCCTTCAATCATATTTATCAAAGTGACAACTTACTTGACATCGGCGTGCAATTTTAGTTATCCTGTTATAAATCTTCAATATAAAATTGTACAATGCGCGGAAATACGATCAATGGAGAAGGCCGACAGCTCGTGCTAAATTTATTAGAGTACTTCCAGGAAGAGCATGAAAACAGCGGTCCCCTGTTACCCACTTCATGCGTACGGGAGAGAGTAGCAGATGCGCTGAAGATTAGTCTGCGCCCATGGTACGGAGACTCGATCTGTTTACTTATTTCATATGGCGATGAAGACGTAACCGCCAAGAAAGGTGACTACAACTATAAATATTTTTAAGATCTCCTAAGTATTTCTTTAGCTATAAACATGAACAACACGTTGTTGTTTTTTGATTTTTTCTAGATTCAAATTTGCATCTCTCGCGAGAATGGCTGCGGTGCCGACGTTTTTTATTTTTTTACAATAATTTTTCTTTTGTGACTTAACTAAATGCCCAATAACTTCCTCAAATCCATATCGCATGGATATAAATTGGTAACAGTCGATTTTTTCATGAATGTTGTCTAGCGCCCATGTTATGACACTAATGAACACCAGAAAAAGCAGACAAATATTGGACCAGCATGTAGACATCAGTGACCTTGCCCAAAGTTGTATGAGTATATCCATGTGTGGACGAAATATTACTCATAAACAAATACATTTTGGGAAAATCTATTTTTGGCATGTTATACATCGCCCTGTATAGAGCACTGACAGAAGCTGTCCCGTAATTTCAATCCGGAAAATTTTTGAGATGAAAAGAGAGATAACTGAGATATTTACTATGGAAATTGGCCCAGGGTGGTCAGGAAATGGCGCTTCCACCATGGCAATCGACATGGAGTCGAGGGAGCAGACCATATTGGAGTTGAGGGTAGAATTGGAGATGGTTCGACAGGAGCTGTCAAAAAAAGACGATGATAAGAAGACCATTAAAAGATTGATGATGACCATCGAAGCCCAGCAGTGGACAATTAAAGACCTAACAGTTAAATTAGACCTCCTACTGAAAACCCTTCCCATCTAAATACTACACACTCTTCGCAAACAGTCCAACAAAATCCCAGTAAAGACAAGGCTGTAAATCTTAAGAGACCGTTAAATAATTCAAGCGATCATTCCACTGACGACAATACACTCCCTGACGGCTTCGTCAGGGTTAAGACCCGTCAAACGCGCGAAACAAGACCGACATGACAGGACTTCCTCATCTGCCACCACCTAAATCGCAGTCTGAAACGTCCCCTAATCTATCGGTTACTTATTCGCCTTAGACATCTGAGGTATCAGAAGACATGACTGCACAGCCCCCACGCAAGGTACGTGATACCCCCATCGTTCTTCGCGATGCTTCGAGATGGCGAGGCGTAAGTCACAAGTTCATTTCTTTGGGCATCAAATTCGAATGCGCGGTTGCCGTCGACCCAGGAATCAGGATAATTCCCAAGTCCGAGGATAATTACCGTAGGATTATTTGTCTCTTCAGGGATGAACAGGTCCCCCACCACGCTTTCCCTCCACCCTCGGAGAGGAACATTTATGCTGTAATCAGAGGAGTACCTGCGACACTTTCGGAAACGGAGATCAAGGAAGAGTTGCAACAGAGGGGACATGCGGCCCTGCACATGACTCGTCTGAAACGCGGTGGCGGCGTGCCCATGCCTTTGGTGGTAGTCATACTGCCCAAGATAGAAAAATCTTAGCAGCTGTTCAACGAGCATGAGCTGCTAAGCTTGGCTATCCGAGTCGAAGTTCAAAAGAACTCAAGACTGATCGGGCAGTGTCACCGCCACCAAAAATATCGGCATGCGCAATCTTACTGCAATGCACCACCTAAGTGTCTAAAATGTGCTTCTGACCACATGACCCACTTATGCCCTCAAACAGAACAAGAGGAACGAAAGTACACGAACTGTGGAGGGGGCACCCAGCGAATAGCCGAACTTGCAGATTTCCCCTAGGAAAAATCTGCAAGTGATAGCGCAAAGGCGCAATGTAAGTTACGCGGATGCCGCTAGGGATGCAACCCGGGCTGCCCCCTCTGTCGGATCTTCCGCGAACACGCAAAATGTGGACCTGGCAACCGCGCTAAGATCCTTACAGCAGATCATAAGTCCTCAGATTAGCGCAACACGGGCTTTGCAGGCGATCTTTCCTGCAAATAGCTAAGTACAATAGACGACAGCCCGCATTTATCAAAATTCTTTTTTGGAATTGGTTGGGTCTAAGGGACATTCCCAAAAAACCGGAATTTCATCAAGCTCTTGTAGGCGAAAGTATAGATGTGGCATAGCTGCAGGAAACATTACTTGATCCGGGAGATCGTCTAGCTTTCCCGAATTACGATGTTATCCGAGCTGATCGATTGACTGGACTTGGCTTGGCGGTGCTAGTGAAACCCGGTATTGACTACCACAGAAGCACAACCCCTTAGATGCAGACAGCATCGAAGCGGCTTCCGTGGTGGTCAATATGACGGAAGGAGTGCCGTTAAAAATCAAATCGGGCCCACCTATTGTGGCAAGGGACTTCAACTGCAAACATCGAGCATATCATTCTAGGTTGTATTCCACCAGTGGGATCCGACTGTACAACCACGTGATATGAAATAGCTACCACAGACATAGAAAACGCAGGTCAGCTATTGTACAAAAAGATGTCGCGATGTTCGGTCTGAAGCTTCAATGAATGGACTTCGTATATCATAGGAATTCTCCGCTAAGTATCTCGGTGTCATTCTGGACAAAGGGACAACTTGGCGGAATCATTTAGAAGCGCTAAAAGCTAAATTCCAAATTACGTTTCGACAGCTTTACCGATTATTATGTAAACGTTCAAAATTAAGTTTGATTAACAAGATTCGACTCTATATACATGCGAAATCTGCAGGTTCTGCAAAGCAGGACGTTGCGCACTATTGCTGACGCCCCATGGTATGTCTCTAACGAAACTCTTCATAGAGACCTCGATGTCCCTTACCTAAGCAACAGGCGCAGCGGCACTATAGCCTAGCGAAGTAGCACAGCAACCCTTTGTTGCGCGAGTCAGTGGACTACATAGTCGAGCAAGTCTGCAAACACAAAAGGCCGCGGTTCGCACTGTAATCAAAATTAATTCGTGAACTTAGAACAACCAAAGGTGGAGCATTTTGACAAAAGCTTTAGAACAAGTCAAATATTTTTAGACCATATCAAAATATGTGAAGTGATCTCAAAAATGCCTAAACGTTGTCTATCCTACAAGATTCTCTTCTTCCCCTTTGCTCTCGTGCTTCCTTCTCTCCTTTCCTTCCCTTTTTTCCTTAAAATTGCCTGGTTTCTGCGTAACCAGACCTGACAGACTTACAAACTGACACTGTAACTTAAGAGCTAAGGTCCCACGGACCGCTCTGACAACCAACCATGACTTGGCATGTTAAACATGACATTCAAGCGCACATTTCTAAAATATTGGCAATTATACAGGGTGTCCCAATTTTGACCTACATATGAAAGCTGTGATTTTTTAAATGGAATGCCTCAAATTTTATTGCATATTTGGATAAACCAATTCAAAAGAAAAAGATTGATATAACATACTATGGGGTTTTGGTAATTAGCTACTGAGATGTAAGGTGTTTTGTCCAGAAAAATCGTCCACTTCGGCAACCCCTCAATCCGCCATTGTTAAAATTTGGAGTGCTGAATTTTGTATCAAAAACAACTTACAAGGTGGTCAAAAACGCGAATTCCATTTTTTCTCAAAAATTTCAAATGCATCTTACTGTATATTTGTGCAAGTTTGGATTAAATTTTTCATAAGCTTTTATTTGGTATAAGGTTTGATTCAGATAAAATCACTAGATTTTGAGTTATTAAGCTTTTAATAGAACAACACACCAAAATTAAGGAAAAAATCACACCATGCCACTAAGAGTACAGATTTGATGTAAAAACTAATAACAATCAGAACAGTATAAATCAGCTTCATGCGTAATAGAGAAAAACAACTATAACAACAACATAAACAAACAACTATCACTACTCAAGACCTAATCTACAAAAACTGCTCGAAAATATCTCCACCATGTTGAATACGCAGCCGTAGTGTTTGGACAAATGACCGTTGCACATCCCCCCGCATGTGTTCCCATATGTTCAGAAAAGCATCCTTAATACTTTCCTTCATATTTTCCGGGGTAGATGGTGAATAGATATAAGCCTCTTGCTTAACGTAGCCCCATAGAAAGAAGTCCATCGGTGTCATATCTGGTGATCTAGGAGGCCAAGACATAGGCCCATCACGACCGAATCAACGATTGTTACTCCAGGTGCCCAAATAGGTACGCACACGATTATGATAATGCGCAGGTGCACCGTCATGTTGGAAGCACATACGCATTCGAGTTTGCAGGTTGACATCCTCCAAAAGCAAAGGCAAATGCTCGATCAAAAAATTCAAGTATTCTGTACCTGGCCCGATAAGTTGTCTGCCAGTAACTCCTCCCCAAACATTCAAGCTCCATTTATTTTGGAAATCTATTTGCCTAACCCAGAAAGGGTTTTCCGTCGCATAATAGTGCATGTTATGCCTGTTGACAACACCTATGCTGTTAAAAGTTGCCTCATCGCTAAAAAGAACGTTATCCAGGAAAGTAGTATCTTCACTCACTTTATTTAGCATTATTCTACTAAACTCCATTCGAGCTGCGAAATCCTGAGGACGAAGGCCTTGAGGCAAGCAACCATAGGTGATATGGATGGTACCAATGCTTGTAAATAATCCTTTGCTATCCCCTACTGAGCGGATCCGTGACAAATGCTTCTTCCGGAAGTTGTTGTATCCAGTATACAACTTCTTACCGTTCAAGTGATTGTACACGCGTTAAGGAATACCTCAGTACCGATTGCCGGCTGGCGGTACAAGTCCGCCAATGGGCCACTTTAGGTCTATTTAATATCACTAACACGTAAAAAGAAGGTGGTAGACAAGGACCAGTCGACCGAGGCGGTACCACCCGCTAGCTTTTCCCAGGGTGTCTTATAAATGTCCGCATGTTTCCACACCTAAGCTATGCAGTCGGTTATCTTCCAAAACAAACTCACTCCATTCTCGGATTGTCCGGGTGGAGGGTGGGCTCGAGGGAACAACATCGAAGATAAAAGTTGTTTTACGAACATCTGCGGGATTGATGTAGTGATGAACATTGATGCTGTTCATCACTACTTGCAATCCGATCGCCTCGCCATGCTCTTGGCGGAGACAAATATCTCAGAGTCTGCACCGATTAACCATCTTAGCTTTACAAGTTACGAGGTGCACTCCAATCTGAGAAAGAACGGGGGAGTTGTGGCTTATGTCCGCAGCACTCTTTCCTGCTCCAGAGATGTTTCTTTGGAAACAGACCGGAAGGACATTATGTGGCTTCGCCTCAACTCTAAACCAGCACCCAAATGTATTTGCTGCCTTTATCGGTATCCCTGGGACCATAACTGGGATAACCTACTCGAATACCTCGTCGTCCAGATTGACTTCCTGAACATCAATCACCCCACTTTCTTCCCCCGCGTCTCGTCACACGCCAGTAGCCTGCTGGATCTTTTTCTGACCACGCATGCTGTCCCTTACAGCACTGCTGCCCTGTCCCCCCTGGGTAACTCAGACCACGGTGTTGTGGAGGCTGGTTTCGGTCAAAATCCGCTGTGGCAGCAGAAACTCGTACAGGCCGCCAAACTTAGCATTACGAACATGCAGACTTTGAGGGGCTCAGAAAATTCTTCTCTAGCTTTCCTTGGAGAGATGTCTGTTTCACTGACGCGGATGCGTCGGCTGTCTGTTCTTCGATAACAGAAATTATCCACGTCGGAATGGAGGAATACATCCCCCACACAGTGAAAGTGCCTAAACCAGGGTCCAACGGCTGGTTTAACAAATCGTGTGAGTCTGTTCGCCAGTAGAAGATCAAGGCGCACAGAACCTTCTTACAAAACCCCACTGCAGAGAGTAGACGTCGAGTCCAGAAACTCATATAACGCAGCGGTTCGCATGTCAAAAACCAGCACGATATAAAAGTTAGACACAGGGTAATCTCGCAGCGCAATGGCGATCGGTCTTTCTGGACGCTGGCCAAGCAGATTGAAAAGAACTTCTCACACAGTAGCTTTCCACCACTTACGTGTATGGACTATTGTATTCGACTCAAAGGCCAAGGCGGAAGTGCTAGCCAAGAACTTTGCCGCCAACTCCACCATGGATGCCTCCCCCAACGCCCAAGTGCCGCCAATTCAAAGGGTTCCCTACACTGTGCGGGAGGTAACATTCAGGCATAAGACCGTAAGATGAATGCTATGGTCCCTCTGCATCAACGAAGCATCTGGTCCGGACTTCATTCCTGGCATTGTACTGAAGAGGTGTGCAGCGGAGCTTGCTCCAGTTCTTTTGCGTCTCTTCCAGATATCTTATGAATCCGGCACCTTCCCAGAAAGCTGGAAATTTGCTCATGTCCAACCCATCCTAAAAAAGGAATTTAAGTCCGACCCTTACAACTACAGGCCTATAGCTCTGCTTTCTGTTATAAGTAAGGTGATGAAGAGGCGCATAAATCGCGAGCT